AACCCTAAACCCTTAACCCTAGAAGGATCTTTTGGGTCCTTCTGCTGATTTGATCCACCCGGCCAACTGTGAGGGATCCGAGGAGCCATGGCTGACCAAGATGATGGGGGCCTGAAGCTCGTGATGTCCCAAATCGAGCAGCTCATTTGCGGCCTGCTGGCATCACAGGACCTACAGTGCGTGGATCGCAAGTTCTCCAGCCCGGTCCAAATCAGAAGGCCATCAAGGAAGGCATCCATAACGAACTCGGCGGAAATCCCGCACATGGTGCCGGAACTTGGCCCCTTTCCGGACCCCCCAACGCCGACCCTCAATCCCAAGACCCTGAAGCCACAAAATTCAGGGGTCTCCAAGCAGGCATCCCTGCCACCAAACTCGACACTCTCTGTCTCGAAGGTGGTGTCCAACCCTCACAGTCGTCAGGTGACTCCCAGCGACGACGGTTCCACAGACGGGATGGAAGGCCTCTACAGGCTACACCACGGATGGGAGAAGAGGGTTCAGGAGCATTCGTCCTATCGGCTGAACAAGACCGGGCCCACCCGAACCCACTCCACGAATCTGGTTCCCTCCACTCCCCACGGGCCCCACTCCAAGGGCTGGTGCCCCCCAGACTGGAAGTTTCTCTGGTCCCTCGCCGCGGGCTCTCTGATTCTCTTCGCTCCTGGGCGGCTTAAGGTCTGGGGGATGCCCTGCGCTGGGGTCCTTTTCCCACAGGGTCCCATTTGGGCTTGACTTTTTTTAAATAAGGAACTCAGTCATGCTTATTGTGAACGCTTGAATCACTAGACTCACTAGACCCGGGTTTTGTTTGGGGTATCTGTGAGCGACGGGTTCCGTTGGCGATGTGCCCCCCCTTGCGTCCATACAGCCGGCATTGTAGATAGGGTATGTTTGTATTGTTTCAACCGTACTAAACCCTAAACCCTACACCCTAAACCCTAAACCCTAAACCTCAAAGATGAAGGAAGATGGCTCCACTGTCTAAGGCCCGTAAACCCAAAGCCCCAAGGACTGCATCTCAATACCCCTCTTGGGCTTCGCTGTCCGGGAGCCCTGGGTCTTCGACCTGATCCGGATTCTGTTTTGGCGCCCTGGCCTGCAGAAGTTTAGGGTGTAGGGGTTTTAGGTTTTAGGGGTTTAGGGCCTTGGAAAATAGAGGTTTGGGGTTTCGGGTTTTGGGGTTTAGGGTTTAGGGGTTTTGGGTTTAGGGTTTAGGGGTTTTGGGTTTAGAGTTTTGGGGTTTAGGGTTTTATGGCTATTCATTTAGCAACCCTTATAGCAACCCTTATAGCATGGTAAAGCTCATGGTTGCGCTTGTAGAACAGCGCTGGCGTGACCCTAAACCCTAAACCCTAAACCCTAAACCCTAAACCCTAAACCCTAAACTGGGATTGCACTACCGAGGACATTGAGCCTGCCCTTTCTTTGGAGGAGTCACGGTGGATGCATCCTGGCTGACGGATGAGCGGGGATACTAATTAGAAATAAAGCCTGATAAAGAGAATATCAGGCCGAGCTTTTCGGTGCATGTCCAGGAGCTTGATTATCCAGGCTCCCAGCAGTCCGCAATCCTGCACACCCATAAGTTTTGAGCCTGTTCTTAAACCGAAACGCCACATCCCCTATATCCAAAGCCCAAAAAATCCCGAGGTCATACCCCTAAGTCCTAAGCCCTAAGCCGTATACATCTTAAAACCCTAAACCCTAAACCTTGAACCCTAGACCCTAAACCCTAAACCAGCAGCCCTGAACCCTAAACCCTAAACCCTAACCCACCCCCCCTCCGAAAAAAAAACCCTAGACCCTTAACCTTAAACCCTAAACCCAAAAAAAGAGAAAAAAACAAAAAAACCCTAAACCCTCAGCCCTGCACCCCGAGTCCCGAGAGTCCCGAATCCTTGGCTCGGACAAGCTTTGCTTCTGTTGGAAGCTCCTGAACCCAAGCATAGGGCATTAGGGTCAGGGTTTAGGGTCTAGGGGTTTAGGGGTTTAGGTTTTAGGGTTTAGGGTTTCAGGCTTAGGGTTTAGGGTTTGGGCGTAGGGTTTAGGGTTTAGGCATAAGGGTTTAGCATAGGGGCCTTGATCGTTAGAATCGGGTGTGGAGGTATGTTTGAAAATCAGTCTAATAAGGAACCCTCTAATCTAGAGGTCTGAACAGCTACCTCGAGAAGTCTACCATACTATGCTGTAATTTTCTAGTTTTTCTACTTACAAGAATCCCTACATTCGGCTACCGTTTGGGGTAGGCGACACTCCAACGATATGGGGGTTACAAGCCAGTCCCATTTTGGAAGATCTGTACGGGATGTTGTGGACCTACCAAAGTGTGGATGGTTTAGTGCCTGGGGTTCAAGGCCGGCAGGGTGTATGGTATTTAAAGTTTGGGGTTTAGAGTTCATGTACCAGGCCCTGCATATGGAGGTCGTGATGCCTTAGACGTAGCACTTGGGACGGAGGGTCTGATTGCCTAGGCAGCTCCTATGCCCTCGCTGATCTCGCCGTGGAGGCATCGCCGGCCCACCCTTGCAGGGTTTGGGGGTTTACGGTCCCGAAGCCCAAACCCGAATCAGAGTTTGAGCCCTTTCTGGCAGATTGAGACAACTACTCAGATGAGAAGCTCTTGCAGCTTGAGTATGTTCGTTACTGATCTTCGAGCCAAGCCTACTACTAAACCCTTCAGTAAACCTAAAATCCCTAAACTCTAAGCCCGAAACCCTTGTTGCTAACTTTGCACAAACCCCCCTGGTGAGCCATCCTCCTTGTCCGGAGTCTCGGCACCGCTCATCGTGTTCCCCCGCAAGACTTTCGGGTGAAGGGTCTAGAGGGTTTAGGGTTTAGGGATTTAGGGTTTAGGGTTTAGGGATTTAGGGTTTAGGGATTCAGGGTTTAGGGTTAGGGTTTACGGACTTAAGGTATAGGGTTTAGGGTAAACCCGAAGCCCCATGCCTATGAACCCTGCAAGCAACTTACCACCGCGGCTGTGGAACTGCGCATGACATGGCATTATTCGTACTAGCACGTGCAACGATTACAACAGGGGCCTTCATAAATAGAATATGGTTTTGGGGTAAGATTATATACCCTAAACCCAAAACCCTAAACCCCAAAAGCCCTAAACCCTAAACTACTATATACATAGAAGGAGCCCAAGGAATTGTATCAAAGAGGAGGCAGAGCATAGGCGGTTGCAACGGTAGCAGCCCGTAGTTCTGCAACTGGGATAACAGACGCGACCCTAAATCTTATGTGAGGCAGATAGCAGAGTGTTAATTTAAATGCAGCCAAAACAGCATCACGAAGAAGCAACACACTCACAACGAAGTCCTAAGCCCCAAACCCTGAACCCTAAAAGGATTGAGGTTCTAAGGCTGGAGCAGGTTTTCCTGGTGATCCTGATCTTCTGCGCGACTTGCCGGCACTTATACGTCCTCAGACGCTTTAAGCTTGAATTCCTCGATCAAACAGCAACTTCACTATAATTGAAGGTAGAGTCCACATGTATATTCTACAACTAAGTGGGGATGATTCAAGGTAGATGCCTTAGTTCAGCGTGGTGGCATTTCTTCATTAAAACCCTAGGATTCTCATCTCTTCGGTTGTTTACCATGAGCTGAAAGTTCCACTAGTTCCTCATCTAGTCGTACCTTAGTGCTGGTCATGGTGAAGCCATCTTCATGGTGATGCGATGCCGCCTCGTTAATCATTGAAGTGGTTGGCGTGTCTTTGCAGTATGTTCGCAATTTTCCCGACACTTCGTGGGCTGTTGCTACGTATTGGTTTCATTGGCGTTGTTCTCTATATTTGTTGCATGCTGGCCTGGCAGTATTGAATACCCTAAACCACACACCCTGAACTGGTCTTAGCCGTGAGAAGTTTTCGAGAAGCGAGGAGCGCTTCGTAACAGACCGTAACAGGGTGCTTAAGACTGAGTCGTACTGCTCACTGTCGTGGGTAGTTACCGAGGTTTGGTAACCCCTGGCCATGTTACCACGTGTTTCTGTTTGCAATTCTTTCTCTCGCCTTGTTTCACTATTATTTGCTGCGCTGAATGTTGGCAGTCAGTTTTGTTGCTTCCCTGCTCGATTGGCATTCTTGTTCTTCACGAGTGGTACTTCGTCATTACTGGTAATGTAGGGGCCTAAATAATTGCCGATACTATTTTGGGGGTTCCCTATGCTAAATATAATATACTGGGCCCCAAAACTCTATTCTAACTATTAAGGCCCCTACACTCTAGACTAGTAGCCCTTATAGAACCCTTTAAGGAACCCGTTTTCAGAACCCCAAAACCCTATTCTAATGATGAAGGCCCCTATATCAGTCCCAAGTCTTAAAAATCCTCCTGCCACGGGCCCCTAGCCGGCAAACCTGTCCTAAACCCTAAACCCTAAACCCTAAACCCTAAACCCTAAACCCTAAACCCTAAACCCTAAACCTTTTTTTTTCCGAGGCTAAGGCTTCTCATTGCCCATACTACATGTGGCTATCACTATGATTCCTGGGCTGTTTGGTCCGTTTCCTAGTGTCATTCGCTTCTCTTTGCTGGAGGTCTCCCCCTCAGGTTTCTGTTGTTTGGGTCCGGGTGTAGGATTTAGGGTTTGAGTTTCAGGGTTTAGAGTTACGGTTTAGCGCGGTGCGCGACATTGTCTGCTATCCATGTGGTGTTGCTAAACTCTAAACCCTAAGCCCTGAAGCGTACCTTCACAGTCCTCACTAGTCTAAATGTGACCCTGCCTGTTGATTGCGGGCGCTTGGGGTTCTGTTCTAGATGGGGCAAGACTTCGAGTTTGGGGTTTGGGGCGGTTTAGGTTCAGGGTTCAGGATGTTTGGGGGCTTTGAGACACTACTCACACTTCACCCCGAGAATTCCCATCAGTGTCCCCGGTAATCTGCATCATGTTGGAGCTTCCAGGAAGCAGTCCAAATAGTAGAAGTTCAATCACGTTCCAGCTTTATTTCAATTTCTATTTTATTTTTTTTCCTCAAAAAGGCTGTTTGGGCCGCCTCCATCAAAACGGTCTTTCTAACCTAAACCCTAAACCCTAAACCCAAAACCCAAGCCCTGCAAATCTTGACAAAGCTGATGCTCCACAAATCTTTGCAGTCCATCCTTTGCCCAGGCCCTGATCCAGGGAAGCAGCCTTTCGACGGAGGCACAATTCTTCCTGCGAGGCGCGGTGGGCTTAGGGGCTTAGGGATTTAGGGCTTAGGGATTTAGGTTGAGGGTTTGCGCGTTTAGGGCGTCAGGATGACGGTCGTGATGATTGTTGTGGTGTATGGGAGTTCGGGGTGTTTACGCTACGAGTTTCACAAGCAGACACCTGCAAGAGCAGTGACAATGTGGTTTTCGAGTCGTGCAGTCGTACAGTCTGGTCTCATGTGCTTTAAAGATTTTTGCCAGATTCCAGAGCCCAAAGTAGTTTTCGTGCCGCACTGTGTGCTCTCGTGCTCTCGCGTTCTCGCTCTCGCATAGTCGCTCCTATGCTCGCACTCTCACACTCTGTTTCGCTGTCTCTCTCTGCCTTTTCTCTCTCTCCTGCTCTGGTCTGTGGTCTGTCTGCCTGTCTGCCTGTCTGCCTGTCTGCCTGTCTGCCTGTCTGCCGATCTGCCTGCCTGCTGCTTGCCTGCTCGCCTGTCTGTCTGTCTGTCTGTCTGTCTGTCTGTCTGTCTGTCTGTCTGTCTGTCTGTCTGTCTGTCTGTCAGTCTGTCATGCTTTCTGTCTGTTTGGCTGTCTCTCTGGCTTCTCCCCCTCTCCCTCAAGTGCAGCAGGTTCAGCCTACTCAACTGCATGCATGCAAGCATGTTTGCAGGTTCTTAGACGTGCATGCATGCTAGCATACATATGCTTATGCCTGCATGCATGCACACGTGCTCACACATGCTTGCATGCATACGTAACTTCCAAAACTGCAGGTGCACAATGCATACGTACGTCTTGTACGCATACAGACAAGAACGCCTATGTACATGCACATATACATGAACACATACATGAGACCATTATTCATGCATACATTACATGCATACATACAGATCCATACGTATGTACACGTAAAACGTACATACATACAGACATGCAGACATACAGACATACAGACATGCATACAGACAGACAGGCGGACAGACGGACGGACGGACCGACAGACAGACCATACATACATACATACATACATACATACATACATACATGCCAACCTACATAACATTACATTTCATTGCATTACATTGCATTACATTACATTACATTAGATTACATTAGATTACATTACATTAGATTACATTACATTACATTACATTACGTTACATAACATAACATAACATAACATTACATTACATTACATTACATTACATTACATTACATTACATTACATTACATTACATTACATTACATTACATTACATTACATTACATTACATTGCATGACATAACATTACTTTACATTCATACATG